ATGCCCCCACGCTCTAACCTAACGTCCCATCCCCTGATGCGGCCGGTTTACGAGCAACCTGTGGTAACGAGAACGATAGATAATAACCGTTCCGTGCTCATCCCCACCTACTCTTCTACTTCCCGACGATCTCGTACCTAGACGACTCTCCATTTAGTTTTTCTATCCCAGCGCATACTGCTGCATTCTTGCTGCAAGTCTACCAAGTCTCGAGAATTTTCACAAGGACTTTGCGAGCTACGTAACCGTACCATACGATAACTTGGACGAGGTATATGATTTTTGGTTAAGACTGCAATGAAGTTTTATGTGACCGCAGTACTCTGTTGTTAAGTAACGTTTTTTTAGTAGGGTAAATTAGCATCGAGCTATCGTATTATTTTGATTCGAACCTCGCGGATGTCTCGGAATTCCTTTTTATTATTAAAGAAAGAGCCATTAGCGTGCTTAGATGTCGAAAGTGCGCGCGCACGGCCGAGAAGGAATTTATTGCGGCTTAAAAAGTCTAGCTGCTTTGAAATCCTGACAAATGTGCGAAGGAACGTCGTCCGTACCAAAGTACCAAGCATGTCGCGTATAAGTCCGGGAAGAGGCAAGGCAAAGCGAGAAGCGCGGGAAGAGTGTCTCTAGGCCGAAAAGCAAACTACGACGTAAATGAAACGCAAGCCTGTGCAAACAACATTTATACCTATATAGGTAGAGCACACGCGTACTGGCATGTGTACGTATAAACAGTAGCAGAGTATACCGTCGCAAGTAAGCACAGAACTCATTCCCCTGCAAGGCGAGTGCCGTCTTGCCTTCCGTCTGCTGTGAATCTTTAATTAGTTAAATTTACACAGTGCGCGATGTTTGTACAGGCGCCGTCGCATCTAATTCGTTACCATTCGTCTCTGTCTCTCTCGTTTATCTCACTCCGCGTTATATATCTACCATCTCCCATTAACCTTAGCAAATTCTTTTTACTGCGAGACGCAGTCCCTGCTCTCCCGAGACCAGTTTTCTATGTTCTGACACAATTTCAAGGTTGGCCGGATACGGGCCCCGTCGAATTCGGGAATGGAAACTCGAAACTTTGGCCATGCGCCACTTTTGTCCTGGAACGTGATACGAATGGTATTACAGTCTGAAAACGAGAAACTAGGCACTTCGCACGCATTAAAATATTCTCATTAAATAGTAGGGTATCTCTCGGAGTAACAGAAGGAAATTAATGGATCTGCGTAAGGCGGTACATGAAACTATGTTTATATATTACGTATGTGTATATATGGCATATATACGTTTCTATATTCCGTTCTACCGTAAGATTGTGACAGAGGGTAGGAAAATCATAATCGTACCGCTAGGGGATGAGTATACGACTATATTGTTCGCTATAGACAGCAGCATGAGTATGGGGTGTGTAAGATAGCGGCTGGCGCGAGTATCTCGCTGTGGCCGTAAAATGGGCCGGGTTTGCCAAGAGTTTGAAATCTTTCCTATTCCCCTTTCGCTCCGACGAGCCGGGGGATGCAGGACAAACAACTTTTTCGCGTTCTCTCTAAGGATGAGTAACGGTGTTTCTACTTTTGGAGGATATTTGGTCGCGGTCCGTTTGGCGCGCCACGCCACGTGAGAGTCGCCGTTGAGGCGAGAGAGTGAGGGGGGGCTCAGGAGGATACATATATGCATGTATGTATATATATAGAAAAAAAAAGGTATTATTAAGAGAGAGAGAGAGAGAGAGAGA